TCACTGAGGCGTACTGTTCCTGCAATAATTCTGGAATCTAAATGATAGAATAAAGGAACAGATTGATCACTTTCATTTTGGAAAGCATCTTTTCGTTTGAGGAGGAGGCGAATCTATTAGAAAGGGAGGCATTTTCAGTCACATAGAACAGCAGTAGGCGAAGTGTGTACTAAAATATCTATACTAATGTAATGTATGACAATAAGTAAGGTATTTTTAGGTTGATTTCTTGAAAAGTGTACAACAAAGCTGACAGCAACTGACAAGGCATTGGCTCAACCAATGGGTGACTCTAGGGGCAGGACTATCTGTTTGTCCAATCAGTGGCATAGTGAGGAATGTGTGAGAAACCTGTTTAGTTCATTTTTATTTATTTATTTATTTTATTTTATTATAATTTTTTTTGCAGTGTGGTGACGTTATTGGCACAGAAATTGCCTTTCAAATAGCAGAAGTATGTCATTTATTCATATAAAATCAGTTGCAATTACGTAATCAGGATTATTTTAATGTTTTTGGCTCACAGTGTGGAGCTGACATTTTAAAATCTCATATTGAGAAATAATATCCACTGACTATATATATAATATATATAACTTTAGAGTGTGTTAAAATGGCAAAAAATGAAATTATTAGATTATTTCATTACATAACTGTTCAGCACAAACTAAGTAGTCATGGTAGGAGCAACACTGGGCTGAGTTCAGCTGGTGGATGGAGATGTGATTCTCACCATGTGCTTGTGCCACTGAGTGGCCACTTATGCATCTGAGAGCTGCCCAGATCAGCCCGTTCCCCCCATTATACCCTTCACTCATCCTGCCAAACACCATTTAAGCATCTTTCATTTCCTCCCCTTGTTCATCAGCAAGTTATTTTTTTAGTGAGACCAATCATTTCACACCGAGCTCCAGCATCGATGTCCAGCACCTTTCTGCCAAATTGCATTGAAGAATTGCCTCAAGGCATTTGGCATGGCTTAAAAACACTGCAGAAATTGCGGAGAAAAGGATTAAATGGGCGTGATTTATTCATCATTTGTTTTTATATAGCTATTTGAAGGAAATCAATTTGAATCTAAGAGTGCTGATTGCTGATGAGTAACGTATGTGTTTGTGCAGTGAAGAGAATGTGGGAAGTGTATAATGATAAAGTTGAAGTTGCTTGACTTGCACTAAAATAATGAAAAGTAAAAGACTGAGTTACTTTTATTTTGATATGTCTGATGTGGTTCCAAACTACTATTATGAAAGCCTTTTGTGTTTCCAGTTTTTTTGGTTTCTTCTTCCTTTTTTTTTTAATTAGTGATTTGGATCTATTATTCATTGTCTATTTAGTGATCAGGTGCGTTTTCACAGTTTTGTCATCCCTTTGGTCAGGATCAAGTTGTGTTTAATATTCAGGTCAGGTCATATTACCGTATTTTGAATGGGCCCAACTATATTTTTAGTGGATCTAGTTTAGTTTTTGGTATATTGTTGTTGATTTGGTTTTGCTTTATTTTATTGTGAGGAAATCTTATGAATGTATGTCATCCTTTATTAACATAGAAGTTCAAGTCTAGGTAAAGAATCCCTTGATGTTTCTTGAATCTTTAAAGATTTAAAACAACACAACATTGCCACATCAATGAATAAAAACTAGGTTCTAATACATTTGTCTGTTTTTTACTGTACGTATACATATTTCATATCTCAGTTATGTTGTCTGTTTTCTGTTGTCTTGTTGTGTATTATCATGAAAGTCTTTATAAAAGGATTCTCAACTAAAGTAAACTCAGCCTGTGCCTTTTTACAGTTAAAAGTAGCTACATTGTACCTCATCCTCACACCACTGCACTGCCACAAATGCCATCTGCAAGAACGGACTACGACTTTGGTCAAACAGATGGATTTTTAAAGTGTATCCTTTCATCTCCTGACTCCAAATAACAAATACAAGTCTGCTTAATCCTGATTGTATCCCTGTTTACAAAATGTAGAATCTAAATTTGTACATTTCCTTACATGGAAAACATGTCTCCCCAATCCACTGCAATGGTTGTCCAGCACTTGTGCAGTAAACATCAGCAGCTTGAAGAATACAGGTGAGCTATGGTCCATTTGTTATGTGATTAAAATTAGTGGAATTCCTATATAGGTTACACTAATTTGGAATACTAATGTGACATCTGCTGAAGTACTCCTACTGTAGTTACTTGTTTGCTTCTAGTGGAACAATTATTGTAGGAGATACTTGGAAAAGGTTTGTTATATATATGCTTTCTCAGATATATATATAAAACTGCTGGGTCATTATTTATATTCAATTACATCCTAATTTTCTCTGAATCCTAGGTTACATATCTGGTTTTTACCCTTGTCTGAGTTTTACAAGTTCCAAAATGTGGCTTAAGTGAGGTACCTTGCCTCCTCACATCCGTACTTTGAGGATAGCTAAAATGAGTGGGCTATTAAGGCATTTTTAGGACTCTGAGTCAGATTTATGAGTGCAGTTGTACTCAAATACCCTACTGCTCTTTCTCTCTCTCGCTCTTTTTTTTTTTTTTTTTTCAAAGGGAGATTCCCCTGAGCTGCAAGTAGATGCTAAATTGAGTACACCTACTTGTATTGATTATTCCCAAAAATCATGATATGTTATGTTAGCATAAATCCCCAACAGTATGGTGGGTGAACATTTGTATTACTGTGAGTGTTGCTGAAATGATCTTGCATGGTTTACTATCTTATACTAGTCTTAAATAGTGTTCTATTACCAGGGAACACTATTTAAAATGCTCAAGCAAAACCTGATTGACACACCTATTTTTTGCCCCTTACCATGTTTTAGGTTTTCATGCTAATGCCTTTATTGGCGTTCAGGTTATTCAACGAATGAACAAATCTGTTTTCAAATGACCTACGGTGGTTTTCTTGCATAATCATTATGATTTGCATATAAACAAGACTGTTTTTTTTTTATATGATGAGAAAATGTTGGTAGTGTTATGTTGTAGATGTAAAGGCACTCATTGACATTGAGGACTCAACATTTATACTTCAGCAATTCACAATATGAATGGAGAAGATTTGCAGAAGTGTTTATTAAATTATCACACACACACAAAGTTATTTATTTATTTATTTATGATTGATTGATTACCAAATCTCTTTCATTTTGTCTCTTTCATAAATATAAATATTGTGAAAAGAGTGGCGAGCATCACATAACCACAAGCATAATGAGATGTTATTAGACTTGATGAATTAGCTTAAGTGGCTTGTTGAAAGTATTACCAATGAAACACATTTAAAAAAATGTAAAATGTATAATTGTTAACACCAATATGACTTCTAGTGTTGTTAACACAAATGAACAAGTGTGTAGTGCTTGGGATTTTATTTTAATGCACTCGCAAAAACTAATTTAATAAAAACGTAAATGGTAAGTAAATGGTAAAAGAGCAGAATCAACATTGTGAGCTGTACACAGATTGACCTTCAGAACATGTGTCAGCTGAAACGAGCAGAGACTTGATAAGGAATTTTATGGTGAATTGTGGGCTCTGATCGAAGTGTGTTACTTTTTAGAAATCAAATGTATCTTTTCCTGCATGATGAGGAATTGCAATTTAAAAATGAAATAAATTGGATTTTCTGAAGCATTTTTTTTTCCAAAGGTGACTTTTCAGAGTTATCGCACTAGAAACATTGGAAACTTTAAAAAAGAAATCCCACTTCATTTGAACAATCTCTCTTTTATATGAATGGTTGGTTAAATCATCAGTTGCCTCTTTTAAGTTCTCCTCAGCTCAATGGATGAGATAAAACTGCTGCCACTGTGTGATATAAAATATATTACGTAATATTAAGATCTGACATTTAATTTTCACTCAAAGGAGCATGTCTTTATATACCGTATATGTAGCAAAGATCACGGATACTTATCACAAATATTAAGAACTATAAAGTTTTGAGCCAACAGTTCAATTACACAAATGTTTTCTCTATCAGTGTTTCATTTATCTTCAAAAACCTAGTTAAAACCCCTGTTAAATTAGAATCATTTGCATTTATTCACAGATTCAGATAACGATCAAGATATGATATGATACTACCTATGATTTTAACTGAAATTTTGATCTGTTCTTTCAGAAGTTTTTTTTTTTTTTTGGTTCCCCAAGTTGGGATAAGTTGTCACATGTTTTAAATGTTGCAAATTGACCATTTATTTTGGTTAACAAGATGGTTTGATATTATAATATGGTGTTTTGTAAATTTATTTATTTTTATTTTTTTCAATGATGGGGCATGTTGGCACATGTTTTAAATTATATAAATTTATTAATACCGTTTTGGCCTAAAAACAGTTTGATAATTGTATGAGACCTTACAATGTGGTGTTTCATAAATAGCTCAGTTTGTTTTAGTTTAAATGCTGCTGTAAAGCCATAATTGCAGTATCCAGTGCGACAGCTTACCCCTTGTAATGTGATGCAGCAAACGATAGCGTAGCCCTACTCAGTTTTTTTTTTCTGTGTTCACAATATAAGGACTTAATAAAAGATTGCAACATTTAAGCTGCCTTTATATCACACACACACACGCACACACACACACACACACATGTCTGGTCAGCTAATAATGTACAGAATGACGACGATGCAATATCATCCGCCTAGTGGTTTGTATCAGTAGTAAACCTGCGAGCGCAGTCAAGTCTATTTGACACCGGTGAGAGGTGCGCTACTAGATCCCACGGCAGCTGTCCGTTCAGAACTGCTGTATGTCTATGTAATGCAATCCACATTAATACGTGCCCAAATCATCATCAGTCCACCCATATCAGGATCGTTTCATTACGCAATGCCTTACAGCGAGACGGGGGGCAATCGGTGCCATTGCACGTACGCGCATTATATTTCCTCGATCCTTTAATCATATGGACTGTGGAGTCGAGGACCAGTTTGAGTGTAGAATAATTCCAGGCGCGCGCTATTGGCTCCCCGTCCTCATCTGTCAATCTGCGGAGGCGGGACTCTGCCTGCTCGCGCTCCCAGGAGGCGATAGATGCGTGAGCTGTACTTTTCTACTGTGTTGGAGCGCTTCGCAGTTTTCGAGCTGAGTCCGAGCGTCAAGTGAACGGCGTGCGGAAAGCGCAGTGGGACTTCAACCGTGGAGAAGTTATCGAAGGAGCCTGTAGTATTGATTGCAGCAGCCTGCACCTGGATAAGCCCCATCATCAGCGCGCGGAGAAGCGAAAGAGCGAAGAAAGTGTTGACGGCAAGCGGGCAGCTGTTATAGAAGGAAGGCAATATGATGGTGAAGCAGCACATGCTGTTTACCCTGTACAGCATCTGCGGGATCGTCCTTAAAGGTAAGAGCGCTTCAAACTTTAAGGCAGCCTATGCGGTGCTTGCAATTTGGGGGCTCATCATCATTACGCACCACGTAGCCGTAGGAAAGGCATTATGCTCTGGAATGGTGATGATTTGCATTTCCATAATATCTCCAAAGGGCCTCGAGTGAGTACGGGGGCAGTTTCCCATTAGTCATCATTGCTCTGAAGAAATTGTGCACGTTTGCCCAGCACTGATACAGAATCGTATCACGGATAAGCCTGCACACACTGCAGAGCTAGAGCCCCGCTTTTATGGATTACCAGTCAAAATGTGTTATAGATAAACTCACCACCATAAGGGAATAGGATTTAATTGATACAGCCTTTGCTTCACCTGATCGGAAACTTTATATAGCCTAATAAACGCATCGCTTTTATTTTATTGTAAAATCATGTGTTTAGCCTATATGCGTATTTAGGCACATTATTATTATTATCATTATTATTATTATTATTATGTATTTATTTATTGTATTATTTATTTTTTGGGAAATGCGATGTGTCTTTTAGTAGAATGTTGTAGCGTTAAATCATGGTGCTATTTCCTGTTACGTATTTTATAGCCTAAAGTTTGAGGTATGTAGCCTACAGTTTTATTCTGGCAGGGATGTGGCATAGGCTACATATTTCTATTTTACCCATGTAACGTGGTGTTTTATAATCATGTGGCTTTTGTTCTGATTGGAAAAACTGTAGATTTCGGACAGCTAATTGTTTAAGTGCTTTTTAGCACCCTTAAACAGGTTTGGATGTGTTTTTTTTTGATAGTTTCACAGTCATTCCAGTCTTCGGGATGTATGGTATTTGCGGCAATCCGCATCTTGGGGTCGTAGTAGCATCAGCTTTTTTCCTCTCAGAGAAAGACGTGCGAAGCAAGTACACCTGTCAGTTTATAGTTGTCAGTGTAATGCATTATTCAACCACATTTTCAACAGTAAATTGAACATTACGCAATATCAGATGTTCGTAAAGAATTCTGTCAGCATTTCTGTGTTGTTTACCTTAAGTCTTGTTGTTTCGGCCGGTGCACATCATTCACGCGCGACACTACAGGATCAGTAGGGCAAGGTCGCGCGGGGCGACCGTTAGTGTGACAGGAATACTTGATGAATACGTCAACTGAACGTGCCTTATTGCTTTTTCGCGCACTATGAAGGTAATGTTTGCTTGAAGTGCGGGTTTAGTGGTCAGTTTAAATGTCAGCAGGATGGGCTCAGTGTGTGACCACTCAAATGTTGGTAGGCTATATGTTTTGTGTCCCTTGAGAGTTAGGTTACGCCGTCCCGCCAATATATCGTGAGCAACAGCCACCGCCCGGTTTCATCTTTCATAAATTCATACATTTTATGAGACTAACCTCAGATATGGTTTTGACGCCACGAAATGGCTAATACTTTGCTCATGAATATTAATAAGGATAAAGTTGATGTATAGTAAAATTTGCTTGATTTTAGTTTACAATGCTCTTTTAATGTTTCAGTAGTCTTTGTATTTGTCATATTTTTGGTAAAGAGCGCAAATAATTTGACAATAGCTAAAACAATGTTCACTTTCTGCGACTGATAACAACCACAGTGGCCACTCCACAAAATATAACAAAAAATTTAAATCCGGATTGCCAATTATTGCAACACACTAAAAAAATGAAGACTTCACCACTGGAGATGTTCCCTTTTTGTTAGATAGATTCTTGCTACAATCTCCTAAGCACATTCGGTAAAGAGGCAATTCACGTAAATGTGATGCCTGTGTATTTCATGTACTCCAAGCCGATCTGGCTAGGTCTGGATATCAGTGAAACATGACTCCTCCAAACAGAGGTGTTTACATCTCAAACAGTCTGGTTTGCAGATCTGGCAGTTTATGAATGCGCAGGATGAATGCAAGAGAGACAGAATGGAAAGACAGTATTTGCATTCGCCTTTCTGTATGCGTGCGTGTGGCTTCCCTCCTCTGCCTCATCTTTTGACAAAATACCCTATGCTGTGTGTTGATAATCAGTCTGAGAGGTGGGCCATTAATAATCAGAGATAATTAAGCACATTCCTCAAGGCTTCACTTCTAATGAGTCGGCAGCAAGCGTGAGACTGAAGCTATGTATTGATTTCCCCCAGCCTTCTCTCTCTCTGCCCGTAAATCACAGAGCCTGTGTCTCTCAGCACCCAGTCAACAGCCCTACTGGCTGCAAGTGCCTCCTTCGGTTCTTTAACACACCTCTCAGAGTCTGGCTGCACCTGCTTACCATGTGTGAGCGTGTTAATAGGCTTAACAAAGTGTGGTAACCGCGCTGATTTTTGAACGATTGAAGTGCAGAGGGTTCTGGTATCCCTGTCTAGCTCTGCAAGTGGCGATCGATAGATCTGATCATTGATTTCAATGGTACATTGACTGATTATCTCCAACATCTGAACTGTGTGATGTTACATAATCTGATTTACCCACAGACCAGTCTGACTGGCTTAATTTGGTTAAATTGAATCATGTATGTGAAATGTTGATTTAGATAGATGGATGCTTGATGTGATGTGTCCTGTGGGGTGACATGCTAAAAAGGGTTCCCACGCTAATTATAACCCATATCAGGGAGCTTGATTTCCATACTTGGAAAAATCATTGGAAATAAACTAACTAACCCTTAAATAAAGGAATAGATTACACAGATACAATAAAGTTCTAGATTTAATATTCAATATATATAATTCTCTCTCTCTCTCTCTCTCTCTCTCTCTATATATATATATATATATATATATATAAATGTCTGAAAGTTGGTAAAAGAAAAAAAAAATCCTAAAAGACCATGGACGTTTCGTGTAATCTGTAGATATAGTTGGCTTAAAAAGTATTTCATTGCCTTAAAATGTTTTTATGTATGTGATCTCTTTGATATTTGACCTTTTATGTAGATTTTTACAAGTTCTTATCCAGTACCCATTAATGACTTTAAAATGGAAGTCAAATGTATTTTAACCTCTTGTTTTTAGTTATATTTTTTACCTCCATTATGTCATTTTGAGGTACTACATATCATTTTTGTACTTTTGTTAAAAAATCAATTTATCACACTGCAGTGCTATTTGAAATGGCTGATTAAAAAAAAAAAAAAAATAAAAAAAAAAAAAAACCTTTTTCCCTTGACTGGTAGTGTAGGCTGATTATTCTTAT